CTTAAGAAGCATAAGTGCCGAGTTCAACTCTTCCTAGTCCGTAAGTAAAAATATTGTGGTTCTCATAATTGGGCCCAAACGGTGCACGTGGTATATGTTTTACTCGTAGTTTCCCCTTTCCCCTCCCACCAATGGATGGGATCAAGGTTTCCTTCTCGTCGATTAGAGAGAGAGAAGAGTCAATTGTGGATGCATGCTACTGACGTAGAAATAACCTGATGCTAACATGTTAGTGAGGGAACTTTTTGGGGGTAAATATGTGCTTACTACCAAATGCGTTGTTGACCAGACGGTTATTGTCCTTTTTTGTAGCTCCTAATAAAGAAACATTGCCAGGAAGAGTTCAACTAACTAACTGTATATTAGTGGTAGAACTGTGGGGAAACTTTGTGCTCATACCAATGGTGTTTTTGATCAGATGTTCTTACTTGTCATGGATCCTATTGGAGAAAAATTGCAGTGCCAAATTCGCATAATAAGTAAAGTACCAGAAGTGATGATGATTAATGATTCTTATACTTGCCATAGGGCACCACCAGGGGATTATTACGTCATGAGCTTCCGCATCAGATTATAAAGGAAAATATTGCAAAAATCATTTTTAACACTAGAAAATAGTATACTAATCCCAACTTTTTTAGAAATTCTATTCCATTTTTGCTTTCATATTATAAAATTACAAGAGGCACGTCAACCAATTGGGGGTATGAACAAAAAAAAATATTAATAATAAAATAAAATCAAGATTCAAACGTCTGAAAAAGAAACAGAACCTGTTCCTCCTCCTTAGCCATGTGCATTGTGTTGTGCTGCCTGACTGATGTTTGTAGGGCTCCTGTACAAAATGCTAACTCCCTCGGGAAACTTTCATAAATTTTTGCATCAGAATTTAGCAGCTTGATAATGTTCGAGGGAGTATATTTGTGCTACACTCTTCACGCGTATATCAAGAGCTGGAAAGATTACCTGCAGTTTCAAAGTTAAATGTTGTGTCAGGACCTCTAGGCATGACAAAATAGAGATGGAGAAGAATCACAATAAACAACGCCTCAAAAGTAGAACAACGCCATGTCAAGCTATGATCATAAATTATACCCCCAAATGTTAGAAACATAAGTGCAATCTTTACCAACGCACACACAATTACAGCAACATATTCACACTGATATCAATCAAATATTGCACACACTACTTATATAAGTGGAGAAAAGGAAAAACAAAAAACCAAGAAACCATATGCATACAGCTGGAAATCAGCACCGCGTTTTCTTTCTCATAATTGAGAAATCACAACTAATTATTAAAATCCAGAATAACTAATTTTGAAAGCAGAAGAACCCCCCTTGTCCCCTCAAACAATATTGAAAGCAGAATGACTATCCGAATTCCATAAAATTCATTCATTAAGCACTTTTTAAAACTTCCCAAAGAAATTGGCGGTTATAATCATCAATCATCCAATGATATACTCGAACATTGCAGTGTCAGAGGAAACATTGTCCATCAAAACCAGGTGGGCAAATAGTAAAAATGCAGAGATAAAGCCGAAAGGCTAGGAGCAGGGCCCCAGCCAGGTTTATGCCTGTAAATTTTAAAATATTTTAAAAAGTAATAAGGGTGAAGTACATACTGATTGTGGTTCTTCCTGAAGTGTCAACGGTCGATTGGGTTGATTGTGTGGTTTTGTCTCTTAGCCCAA